TAACTGGGATTATATTTACATATATGGAAATATATTAACGGTTACATTAATTTATTTACATTATTTATTCACTGTTTATATTCTAATGATAAACAGATCAGGTTAAATGACTTATAAGATAGTGTTTGGAGGTGATCAATAGGGAACCTTGGACTTATGTTTCGTGATAGTTGTCACTCGTCAGCAAGGTGTACCTGTAATCTTGAGGGAACTGGTGCTCCCTGACGGATTCGATCCTATGTCACTCAGCTTCAGAGTCAGTGACGTTACCATTAAGCTATCTGGGCCACGACTGACCTCCTGTAGGATTGAGATATATTTACAATTGATTGGTCACTGAGTGGTGATCAATATCATGTATGACATAGTGCATGCAATTTCAAGTCACCTAGACTGGTGGCCATATTGCAACTTGGTCGATAGGATTCGATCTGTATTAAGAAGGATTTGACATATATGACATTGATCACCACCCAATGATCGATCAATTGTAAATTATTTGTCATGTTGATTTTCTCTTTTCATTATTGAATGCGATGAAGGAAACTATAGGAAATTATATATATGTATATAAGAATAAATCAATATTTCAGTAGTTACTCATCACATTTTATATCATCAAATAATTATACTCATTGTCTTATATACATAATTTAGCAAACAAAAACAAACGGATAATTATCATTAGGATAATGAAAAAAAGTGTTTGATTCAACAAATGTTCTTTTTTATTTTGAATAAATGGATAGTCTTACAAGTTCAGACATAAATGTTTAAACAGTTAAAGATAGTTTTGGTATTTTTACTTTGAATAGTCGTTCTAATTTACAGTTTTGAACAAAAGTTGACTAATTAATGCATATTTGGACATTAAAATATAAAGAAATCGATCGTTTATATGATATACATTTGGATCATAGTAACTATTCAGATTTGAAGTATAAATTAACTAACTTGTGTAATACAATTTCAAATAACAAACATTTGAAGAAGGATTTACTTACTTTTTCTGTATTAAGTTGAACAGATCAATGTCAGTATGTTCTGTGTTCTTGACTGAGATGATATCATATACAGCTCATTATCAATCTAGATATTTACCCTAAGTACTGTATCAATTAAGTATTGAGCTGACGAATTATATTATAAATTTATACGAATATTCGTCAAGATTAGAACGAATAGTTAGACAGAAATTAGGTGACGAGTATAGAGAAGTCATTGTATGTGAAAATTATATTTGAAATAATCTCAACGATTGAAATGTAAATGATTCCAACGTTTCGTCCAGCTAACTTGTCTGGACTTCTTCAGGGTAATAAACAAAATTATTTAAGCATTTATTAGTCGGTGAAGTCTTCAAAGGTTGACAAATAAATTCAAACGGCACTTAAGATCAAGATTTACTTATTTGTTTCAGATATATAGAGCAGACTGTTTTGTATAATAAATTGTGTTTAGTGTAGTTTCGCTTATAGGGGCACTTCTGTTAAGTCGGCTTTCCGAGAACTGCAACAGAGCCTCCGGAGGCCCTGAAGGAGCCAAAGAGTCTCAGCCAATCAGAGCACGGTGGAGCTTTCTAGAATGCCAACGTGGCGTGCTACTATTGGTCAGTAGCATAATATGTCTTTTAGCGGATTGGCCAAAATATGATGTTGATTTAACAAATGTTAACATCTATAAATACCCATGTTTTTCTGTACAAAAATGAACCTTGGAGTAAAGTACTTTTCGCATACTTTGCGCCTTCTCTCTCGTGTTCAGGTCGCTGTATAGTTCTAGCTTGGGGGGTTTTCAAGAATAGCTTAGGAATCGAGTATAGCGTTCAACATTTCAAGACTTATCAACTTCAAACCAACTTAAGTTTTAAACATGTCATTTTCTCATGAACAGTGAATCATTCTTTCAAAATCAAAGTCACCATCTAGAATTCGAACTTCTCCTCAGTTCTTTTGTCACGAATAAGCTTGTAGCAATGTAGAAATGGTCAAGTAACCAGCAGCGAATTTACATTGTCTTGATGACATCATGATAAATGTATTAGTTTCATTTGATACCAAAATATCAGTAAACAGAAACCGCTATTGAATTAACTATTATTAACAAGAAAAATGTGAAACAAATTCTTCTCATTTCGCTTTCTTTTTCTTGATTCTAGTGTGTAGTATCATTTATTCAAAATGCAAGTCGGTCATTTCCATTCTTTTTACTTGTAGGTCTTACAAATTAATACTACACTAGAAATTACTCAGGGAGTTCTAATTATATATTTGAAGGAAATCAAATATTGATATCATCTTCAACGTGTAAAATACTTATATGTCTGAGAAAAGTACTTAAATAAATTCTGTTTGCTCCCAAGTGCCCTGGTATGGTCGAGGGTGGGGACAATCAGCTCTCCCTCTCGAAATGCTCTCACATGGCCACGCGTATACAGCCATTATCAGGGAAGTCATACCCACTACCTTTTCGCGGTGGGGTGTCGTTTACAAAATTGAAAGGGAGTAAAGCGAATATCTGGTGCTTTAACCAGGTTGGTGAACAAGGAGGGTCCATTTAGAGGAGTTGGAAAACCCTGATTCCAAACCAATGGTGTACATGGGCTCCAGTATCCTGAATGAACAAATCGCATATAAACCAATTGTTGATGACCAGCTAGCATGGGACTACATCTCCTTACGTCGCTCTACTACCTTTGGATCAAACCTTTAATTCGAAGGCTCCAGATGTGACCTCCTAAGAAAACCACCTGTTTCGGTTTGAGCACTAGAGCAGTATCACACCCCCATACACAAATCAAGTGATTTATATGGTACATATCTATTTAGTGCCCTCTTGTACCAATATTTATATGTCCAAATAAAATTTTATGAATGATATCAAAATTTCATAATTTTCTTTCATGGATAAAATTTTTTAAATAATTTTATTTATAGATAGTAATCTAATTTAGGGTGAGATTTGTAAATGACAATCTTTATTTCTACTTTGAGAGAGAAACGAAAAAAAAAAGAAGAGAGTAAGTCTTCTTGAAGTTTGATAAACATGATATGTTTTTGACAGTGAAGATAAATAATCTGATCAAATGTATACAAATAGTGCATTGTTATTCTCCATATCTTTTGAAAATGATTATAACAAAAATAAACATGAAAAAAACAAATAAACTTTTCTCTTACCAAGATCAATGGTAAATGAGAACAATGTACATTTTTTTGTTGTAGTGTGATAGTCCCCAAACAAATTAAGAATAAATGTAACTAGATCATAAGACACTACTATTCAAGGTATGTGATAATTTATGTCGAATGATTACTAGATGTACTGTTATTGCAAGATATACCAAAATATAATATATAGAAGTGAAAAAGATCTTTGTAAAAAATGTCGGTGCACATATGAGAAGGATGAGGAAATAATCTTTATTACAAATCTGACAATGTAAAAATCAGAGGTTATTAGTAATCTGTTTTATCTAAAACTAGAACTCATTAACTATAAGATATTGTTTAGAATCATGTAAATAATGGGGAAATGGTATAATATATATTTCATAGTTCTGATGTAAAAAGTTCATGATTACATATTAAATGAAGATAATTAACAGTTATGTTTGAAGAGATTACGAGATCACATAAAATTTGCCGAACGGAACGAAAAATTAGAGACACAATGACAAAACAAGCTAACTATTCTGATACAGTCTAGTCCCAATAACTAGAGGGAGAAGTCTAGATTCCGATAAGAGAAAATATATCCCACAAACAGCCAGAAGTACGAAGCGGAACAACAAGCATAACTTAAACGTATATATATATATATATATATATATATATATATATATATATATATATATATATATATATATATATATATATGTTTTTGGGAAACTGTGAGGACGGTCTACGGGTGATCAAGAACCTAATGAAATTTTGATAGATGTTGATTATCCTAGTGATCCACTATCTACCAATAAGATTTTCAAGAAATTTGATGAAAATGTTTCGGAATAATCAAACATTAATGATCCTTACCATCTAATCAGTTCTAGTGGACTCTCTACTCAGTGCGAGAAATATGTTTTAAATAGTCACACTAACTGTAACTTGGAAATATGAGGACACAAAATTATTTCGTGGGGGAGGATAAAGTCAGAAAATTTAAAGTCAGGATGTAAACTTTGAGTATTGGAAAAAAAGGAGGGAAAGTGATATGATGGAAAGAAGTCAAAACTCGATAGATTTACTCATTATGAGTTTTGGTTCAACATTACTTCCGTTATGATTCAATGTGATGATCATTTAGTGTAGTATTTGTTTTGTTTTCTCGTATGATATTTTATTGTGTATAATATACTATATTCTTGTCTTCAATTGACATGAACTATGCTCAGTATGTGATTTGTTATAACCCTAAGTATTTTTTATATATGTGATTTCATCCTAAATATTAATCAGAAAATGGGTGTACAATCAATGTATAAATGAGTGTATTTTCGACTAGAGTCGTCGTCATCGTGTTTTGGGGGTTGATAAATCTTCACTTATACCAGTCTTTATGTTCTTAGTTTCGCGTCGTGGGAATTGCAGAGGTCCCTAGTTTTCAAGTATAAGTGATAAGTGTTTCCGACACAACAATCAACGATGACCAGATATAACAAGTAGCATTCAATTGACAAGTTATAACAGAAACGTCACAAAATAACATATTAAAAGAGGCATTTAAGGTTCTGCCAAGTGGAAAATGTGATATGAAGGTGAAAATGAGTACCTTTGGGGCGAAAACAAGAAATTCAAATCATAAAAATAAACGTTAACCAAGTAAGTTCTGGGGATCTAGCATCCTCAGCATTAGCAAAATTTACTTCTTAAAGAAAAATACACCGTTTAACCAATTGGGTATTATTTTCACGGTTTCTTATTTTGATCAAAAAAATTCAAAACATTATGATTGAAACAGTTAGACTGTTAACTGAAGGATCAATCGGATTATAAAAAATGTCAAAATTCATTCGAATGTTTAGATGTAGTTATTATAGATTTTTCAGAATAAATTACATGTATGAGTGTGGCCAGGTTAGAGACGGAACCTAGGCAATTAAAAGAATGAATCATTACGAAGATGTATTCATAAACTTTTGGAATGAAAATGATGTGATTAGTAGTAGTAGTAGTAGTAGTAGTAGTAGTAGTAGTAGTAGTAGTAGTAGTAGTAGTAGTAGTAGTAGTAGTAGTAGTAGTAGTAGTAGTAGTAAGAACAGAATTACGGGTGGAGATCATATTTACACTTACTTGAAGTGGTCGGCAAAGAAAGTCATTAGTTTTTCTGATAAAAATCACTCAGAAGAAAAGGACTGAATAAGTGGATATAGTATTTCAAGGTTTTCTTAAGCTTTTAAAATAACTATATTATTAGTGACTGATAATCTTGACTGAATTTTGACCAGCCTTTGTTTTGGCATAAGTGTATTCCATGAGAAATACTTCAGTAGAGCCATCTTGTCACAGGTTTGCGGAATAGATGAGTTGTAGTTAGCAAGAAAAATCCAGGGCCTGTGTTTCATCCTATTTGAGTGTCAACTGAATGTACCCGTATCCAACTTTACTATCAGAGTACATATTTGTGAAGGCGAATCTCCTATCGATGTAATGCTTGATGTTCACCAAATAAATCAATTAGTGCTAAATACACTTAGCTGTCTAAGCAACATGTAAAATTTCTTAAAACGTTACAACGCATTCCTTGAGAAGTTCTACTTTCCACTCAATAGCTTATACGATAGTTATACAACGCTAGGTTAAGCTGACAAGTTGTCTTTTATTTATGTGGTCAGTACATAATAGGTATTAAAATTTATATACTGTTTTCACAAGATAGTCTTGTCAATAATGTTTTTAAATTTAGCTGCTAGCTATGAAACAATAATATCTTTTTAAAGACTAACTAGGAGGAAATAGCTGATCAATTATCCCCAGCTTTTAATGTTTGTTGAACTTAAATCGGTTCATAATGTCAACAAATTGAAATTTTAACATTTCATCTTTAAAGTCGTTAAGATAGTGGTTGGAGATAGATAACAGGAAACCCTGGACCTATGTTGCATACTGCTTGATATTCGTCAGCAAGATGTATCTGTAATCTTGAGGGAACTAATGCTCCATGACGGATTGTTAGGATTCGATCTGCACTAAGAAGGATCAGACATATATGATATTGATCACCACCAAGTGATACATCAATTGTAAGTCTTAAATTATCATTTGCTATTTACCAAAATAAACTCCGTCTGAAGCTACTGCCGGTCCCAAGCCCGAATAAACAAGGAGGGTTGGACAAAGGGTTAGCCACTCCATCCCGAAGAAAACTAACTTGTTGAAAAAACACTAACCAGAAAAAAATAATTCAAACCATTTACCAAAATAAAAGAATGTATACCAAAAGAAGAGAAAAGAAAATTATGTTGTTCAATTTCATTCATTTTGTCTCACTTACAAAGATGTAGATTTATGAGTCATAGTATTACTCAAAGAGTGTAAGAATGTGTGTGGGGGGGGGTAAGAGAAGAACATAGAAAAAGTCATAAAAAAGGAGGGGGTATTATCGAGTAATTCCTATTGGAAATTGTGTATTAGGCATTTATTTTTCATCCACTCAAGTGAGTATTTATCTGTTAGTGAATTCATCTATTTCTTAAAAATCTTCTGTTCATATCATTTTCATTTTATTTCTTAATTATTCCTTGTTCATTTTGTATTTATTATATCAAGTTAATTCTTGGTGTAATTAACAAAATCAAGAAAAGATTTACATGACAAACAAGTTGAATTCTGTTGTTTTTGTTTTTAATATACTCAGTGGACTTTCAATAATTTGAAATTAACATTACTCTCAAGAGAATACTATGAAAAGAGGATAACTTTTAAAATAGATAAACAAACAAATAATTTTTTTGAATAAGATCATGAATCGATTGATGATAGAAAATCAGGATGCACTGGATGGCCGTTTCGTTCCAGTATGGAACTCCTCCACAGTGCGCATCCACAATCTCGTCCACAGATTTCGAACTCAGGACCTTCGTTTTCTACCGCGAACGCCTAACATCTAGACCACTGGGCCGGCCGGCATCCAACAGTGTTAATATCTGACCGTCAGGAAGTCCCATACTAGGAAGAGACGGTCGTCAAATGCTTTCAGGTTTTCAGTGGTGATCTAACATCGATCGATTCATGATCTCAATAAAAAAATCTTGACAATTTACACGACTCCATAGTGATAATTACAACATGCTCACTAGTGGCTAACTTTGTGAAGGAATTATCGGAGGTCTGGTGAGAAACCGTGACCAGTGGAGTTAATCCGTGACGGGTAGAGATAGGTATCTACCTCAGTACAATAGAAGATGGTTGCGCAACTTTGTGGGTTTGTTGAGATTAGATATTAACACTGTTAGATGCCGGCCAGCTGAGTAATCTAGAGGTCAAGCATTTGCACAAGAGACCGATGGTTTTGAGTTAGGATCCCGCGAGTGGGATCACTGATGCGCACTACGGAGGAGCGCTACAATAGAACAAACCAGCCGTCCGGTACCTTCAAGTTTTCAATGGTGGTCTAACATCAATCGGTTCATGATCTCAGTCAAAATTTTAATGATTTCCACAACCCCATACTGATAATTTATCCTTGATTATTTTTCATAGCATTTCGGTAATGGAAAAAAACTTGCGGTAAATCGAAACTTCATTTAAATTTAATTAAAAGCTTCTGTTTTTCTTTTTCGTATTAGTACAATGAGTTTATGGAGATTGTTTATTGTACATTCCACATCATGAACTGAATTGTTTATTTCATTAAATTGATCAATAAAACTCTATTCATCGATTGAGCATAACTTTTAATTACTATGCAAAAAGAAATCAAATGTGTTACATTTGTATAAATTTAACTAAATAGTTAGTTGTTTTTTCTCTCAGTTGGTTCAATTCTGTATGGCTTCCGGCATTCATTTGATTTTATTTAGTAGATTCACAATTGAATCGTCTTTATACTACTACTACTACTACTACTACTACTAATAATAATAATAATAATAATAATAATAATAATAATGCTGATAGTGATAATAATAATAATTCGAATGAATTGTCGAAACCCTGTTATCATTTAGAAAATGATTAAGTTCGACAATATAATTTATTAGCTATTCATATTCTAAAAAGTTTCATTACATTTTATATTCTATGTCATTTATGCTTGACAATGACACATATACATAATTGATCACTTAAAAGAGATAATGAATGTCATTAAATAGAAAATTAAATTCTCTATTCAGAATACTTTGAAACGTAAAACTGATCTTTACTTTTTGAACCTAATCGACAATAAAAGCATTTTACAGTAAACATTATGAATCCAACTTAAATTACATTAAACATACCTTCATCTTACATTAGTACTTTAATCTATATTTAGATTATTATAAAAAGGAGGAAGAATCAAATAATGTAAATATATAGACAACATAGATTCCCTTGCTATTGCTATACTTTTATCTTCCCATTGTTATTTCGGATTGCAATAGATCAGTCTCTTATTGGCATATGTGCATCCTGTGCGGATTGCCTCGATATAGTCTTAAGTCACAAGCTTTTTTAAGGAAGGATGGATAGAGGCTAGCAGTAGAATACAGGACTCACATTTCGTTCTATTTGGGACTCGTCAGGTGGATGTATCTGCATCTTAGAGTTAATATTCACTTCAGGAATCAAACCCAATACCGTTTGCTTTAAATGCCATCTCATTATCCGTTTAGCTACTGAGTCCTGATAGCCATCTGCTTGTGTACACAATAAATATGTTATCAGTTACTTAGCTATCTACCCTATAATAATGCCTAATACAACTATAACGAAATGTATAGAAACAGTAACCATAAAAATAAAACATTCTTAGTACATTAAAAATACAGACGTAATATTACAACATCAATTAATTAAGTTTAAAATTAACTTTGGAGCATAAGGCTGATCGACATTTTTCTCTTAAACATATATGTTTAATCACGAATTTTGGATAGCAGTTTCTTTGCCAAAGTTTAGCATTCTAGAATTATCAACTTAGTTATTTTCTTAAAAAAATTAAGTAAATATGCCAGATAAATAAGGACGTATTCAAAAACTAAGTTACTGGCAATTAGAATTTTTCCTATTATGGTAGAAAATAAATATTTCCTCTGTTTATGATGGAGCTGGATGGTTTAGTCGTGAAACTTTCATTGTTCTTCTAAACGACATCATCAACACAAAGTTCAGGCAGAAGAACGATGAAAGTGTAGTAAGCCCATTCAACTACTGTATTATTTATCTGCTCACTGTAATTTAGACACTTAATCCACTATGTAATTTTCTGTATGAGTATGATTGAGCACATGTCAGTTTTTAATCTATTCTCCCATTGGTTGTAATACATATACTTGATTAACACTCATAAATATATATGGATTTTTAACGCACACACACACTCTTGGTTTCACTGTTTGCTTACCTCCTGTACGATTGCGGATTATACCAATCTTTAACAATAAACTATCTCTATAACTGGTGTTTGAGCTTTTGAATAATCTCGAGTAAATCCATAATTCTACTAAGACATTTAGCCTGCATTAAATACTCAGTTAACGGATTACTATTTATTGGAGTCAGATATAGAGGAAATTAGCCTCTACAAAAGCTTCACGACTAAACTATCCAGTTCAAAGAACAAAACTTCATCATAATCCTTCATATGAGCTATAAATCTCTTCCACCATTTCCTTTGTTTATCTAATATACAAATTTCCTGATATTTGTTAAGATTACATGTCATTGTAATTTACTGATATTTTATTTCAATGGTTAAGATAATGAGTCAGTTGAAGCTAGACCACCATGGGAAACCTGCAAGCACTGGACGGCCGTCTCGTCCTATTGTGGGACTCCTCATCAATGCTCATCCACGATATCGCCCCCTTCGAGATTCGAACCCAGAACCTACTGGTTTCGCGAGCGAGCACTTAACCACTAGACCACTGGCACGGCCGGCATCCAATGGTGTTAATGTCTAACTTCAACTAATCCACGAAATTGAGCGACACATCCGCCATTGTCATCAGTGAGTTACTGTCTCAGAACAGACCTGGTTGAACTTCATTGGTCACTGCTTCTCACTAAAACTCCAGGATATACCTCTTGAAGCCAGTCACTAGTGAGCATATATTGAAATTACTATGATATCCACA